TTTTCTTACATCAGTCCAAACCATTGATAAATTATTTTTATTCATTTTTGCATCTTCTAGGATCATTTTGTCAATTAACATGTTGTCAGTGCATCCCATTACTCCAGGTCTACCTCCTCTCTGATCCATCTGTAGCGTCTTTAATGGTAGATATTCGCCTACGAGTGAAGTGATTGACTTGTACATCGTATTTAAGCAGGTGATGGGACGATGGTCAGGTGCTTTTGGTTGGAGCTTTTTTGGGTGTAGCCCACATCTTCCTTCAAGTAACCATGTGGGAATAGGTGTCTGCTTGTTAATCAGTTCAGTGACTGCTACCGATATACCTTCGTGTATAGTTGTAAACGCTTTGAGCCAGTAATTCACTATTTTATCTTTACCGGGTGACGACCAGTTTTTTTTCGTTTCAAGCATATTCGTGAATTTCTCCTTTGTGATATTTACGATTTCATCATCATTGACTGCTGTTGACTGGCTAATAGCTTGCTCAACGTCTTTGATCCATTTTGCTTCCAGATTTACCTTCGATTCTTCCCTCCAAATTTTTGGCCAGTAGTCTTCAAAATCTTCTTTGGTAAGTGTTGTTTGGCTTCTGGTTTTATCGCTTCTTGTCTTAAAACTCACATCATCCGAGTCACCGTTTTTCAGGATTTCTCTAAACGTGTTGTATACTTTTCTTTGGTCTGTGTCATATAGCCTGTTAATTTTGTTTCTCACGATCTGACCTTTTTTCTTTTCCTTATTGTATTTCATTGATTTTACCACACTAATCTTGTGTTCCCTTATTTCCAGTAACCCATTTAGGGTTATTCTACCCTTCAGTTCTCTTTTCATCCACCTCCTGTTTCTTCTCATGTTTCTCGTAAGTTTCTTATTATTCTTTATTCTCTGTATTTCCTCGGCAATTTGTGAGATCTTGCCCCTAATTTTGTTCATTTTTTCATTCATTCATTTTTCCCAGACTGGAATCCCCTTTTGCTTTCCCTGGCTGTTGCTGTTGTTATTCCCATCTTTATGATCGCATGCTAACTTCCATCCACAAATCGTTGCATACATTGCACAGTTCACATCCCACAGGTATTTCGTTGGTTCTTCCTTTGGGCTATGCATTTCCAAACCCATAAGAATTCCTTGCAGGTCTTGCAGTTCTTTACATGTTGGCTTCTTTTTTACATATGTGTTTAAACCACGTCTACTCCAGTCCCCAGGGATTGTTTTTACATCAAGATATTTTTGTTTGACTTTTTCTTGTATTCCTTTAAAATGACTGTCTAGCTCCGCATCTGGCGTAAAGGGTGGATTTTCAATGCTCCTTTGTTCGGTTTCTACATTATTCAATGCAGCATTGTCTTGTATTTGGCATTCTGTTTGTTCTATTATCTCATTTTGTATTGTCTGTTGGTCTGTTATTGTCACCTTCTCAATGCGTGCAGCTTGGTCTCGCAAGTTCTGTGCTGTTTTGCCTAAATCTGCGTAACCAATTTCTTCCCAAAAGATTTTTGTGAGCTCCATCACTCCAGTCTTTCGTCCATTTGGTTTGCGTGGGCAGTCAGCTCTTGTATGGGTGCTTTTGGCCTTTTCTCTGCAGTTGAGCAGATCCATATTCATTTTTGCGGTCCAATTTGTTTTTGATTGGCATCGAGCATGGCTGCTTTGATGTTGTTCCCCATCTTCCATTCTGTATTTCGCTTTTGCGACTCCTGTTTGACTTTGGAGGTGTTGCAGGTCGATAATTATACATTGGTATATAGATATCAATAATATAATTACATGCTCCTTTCCTAAAATACGCATAATGAGAGCATAATGAGACGCGAGATTCCAAACACGTCCTCTCAGCACGGCGCCATCATCACCATCATCATTATTATTATTATAATTATTATTATTATTGGTCGTTGAGCGGTGGCGTTCGGAGCTCCCGTACACGGCTCTCGTTTAAAAGCAAGTATCATTATAGCCTGGTTACTTTGTATTCGTATATTATAGTAAAATCGACTATTGAAACGACAAGGAGTTTTTTTCAGAAATGATTCGTTCGCATTGGCTTTGGATTGTTGCAATATTTGTGGTTTGTTCTTTCTGTGGTCAAGATTTCAAAACGTTATGCCGCCATTCTTGGAGATGTAAACGGAAGCTTGACGTCAACCACCAAAATGGCCCCAACGGATCTATCAACATTCCTCTAATTTCCGTGGAAACAAATGAGGACATTGTTATGCAAGACAATCGGATCAAATGCTGTTGTGGGAAAATTTGTAAAGGAACAAAAGGTTTAAAGATGCATCAAAGAAGGTGTCGCGTCATTAGCGGAATAGGAAACCCTGATACCTCTGAAGACCTACAATGCCTGCCAAAAGTACTTGGAACACCCACCAATTTACGCTGCATTTGATATCTTTCATTCCTTTCATGAAAAAAATTTGCTACTTCCGCCCCCTTCCCCCTCAAACAGTGTTGATGATTTAGAGAAATATCATAAAAGAAGCGCAAAAGAAAGTGCTTCCTAAAATCCTAATCCGTTTGATAGTAAACCAACATTGTTCCGTGGGGGAGAGGGCGAGGATTGGTTTTAACCTTGGAAATTGATGTCAGTGTTCCAAGACTTTTGGCAGGCATTGTCTGAAAATTTTCTCGAAAACAGCAATCTGCGATATCAAAACATTGTGCTACCCTAGGGTTTTCGATGGTGCTGATCTCACTGCTACTAATTAAAATTCGAAATTTTCACTCTTTACACAGTTAAAAGGGGGGGAGGGGGTTGGGACTCTGAACGATTGATATAGTAGATATCCGAGTATTGTTATTTGTTACAAAAAACATTCTACTGATTTTTTCCGTCATTATCATTTAAATCATTATTGAAAACAAGTATTTTGTGCAGAATTCGATCATCGGTTTAAGAAATTTATCAATTTTCAAAGGAAAAACAGTACAGTTTAGTACCTTTGAAAAAGTGTTTTTTTCTGAAAAGTCCCCTTATTTATGGTTTAATTATTGATGAAAAAACAAAAAAATTCATGAGAATGTCTACAAACCATGCATGATCTAAATAATTGCGAACAACATGCTGGTGAGAAACTGTTCAAATGGCTCAATTTTATCCACCATAACCCTCCCAAAACCATCTACGAATTTAATAAATTTGCTTAGGCTATGCTCCTTCGCATTCACATGTGGCAACATGGTAGTGCTCATAGACACCCCATTCCCTATTATTTTCTATCTTCCCTTGTCCCAATAATTGGAAAATGGTTTGTGCCAATTATAATTGTTCGTTTTCCATTGTTAAAGTATGCTAGGAATTGAAAGAACGCTCCTTTCCTAATGGGCACGTGATGTAGTATGAAAATGCCTATTGCCAATGGTTACCAACGGTCTACAGCCACGGTCTACACATTTAAAATGTTCATGAAAATCGTATTTTTCAAAGAAAGTAGACGAAACCTCGTCAGTAGGTGTGCATGGCTAGTATAAAAAATATTGTAGGTTTTCAGAACGGTACAAGTTGTAAAACTGGAGAAATTCAGGAAAGTGTCAACGGTCTACACTTTCTGAGAATTGAATTTGAAGTACTCTAGATCTTATTCTCATTTTGAGTGTAGACCGTGGGATTTTCGTCATATTTTGCCGTTTTCTTCATGGATTTCATACAAAGGTTAATTTTATCTTTGAAGGGTATTATTATACACCTTTTGGGTGATTTTGGGGGCAAACCTCCCCCTGACA